AAAAAAGTAACTTAAAAAAAATATTTTCTACGTTTAATTTTTATTGAAAATATTTTATAAATATAAGTATATTATTTGATTAAAATTGAGGAAATATCGATACATATATATTTGCGTAAAGTTCGCTCATAAAAATTGTCTTCCTAATTGTTTGGCATTTGCAGTTATAAATTAATCTAACATAAATGACTTCTTAGGTCCACTGAATCGTTCTAAATTCATGCAAATTATTTATTACTGTACTGTATCTTTCAAAATAAACGTTGTATTATTAATTACTAAAACAGTGTAGTAAGCGCCACCTGTAAAAAAAAATTGGTACCTTTTGTGGAATGTCAATAGATATACTGACCACCATGAACTTTTAGTTCTGTTTGGTTACGTTTCTATCACGTAAAGGTATCTATCTACGCCGTGGATTCAGTTCGACAAGTGGAGGATACCCTTATAGACCTTATCGAACACTCTTGAATCCCACAAGATGCAGCAATTTTCTACAGATGGCGTTCAGTACGCTGTTAGTAGTAATTCATAAAACGGCAACAGGTGGAGGCGGTATGTATTTTTACTTTAAAACAAGTCATTTTTAAATACTTTTCTAAAATATGTGACTATTAATTTTTCCATGGGGTTCTTTTTATGGATCTCCTTTTAAACCGTTGTAAACAATGTTGTAAATAAGCCTTGATCCAGATTACAAATAATTTTCCATTAAAATTTATCGCATGCCAGGATGACTTTTACAAATTTCTCAATTGCTATTTTCACAGTGTTGTTATTGTTTCCGTCGGTATCCAATTAATGGGACATTGTCAGAGCTCATTCAAAATCCCGATTAACATTTTTACAAATACAGGTAATTGTGTACGGCTATCTCATATTCGGGCCATTGTGATGCTCTTTGACCACCAACGAATGAGATAATGGAAGGGTTGATAGGTGATGTATGAATTGCAATCGCCACCACCAAACCCCTTGTTCGATTTTACACTTGATACAACCGAATATGAAACCCGCGGTTTCGAATTGCACTTATTTTTGTATGACACACGCTAAATAGAACCCGCATAAAATATATTTCAAAATATGTCCCCCATAACTATTAGTTGATCTTTACAGTAGCCCGTTCATGAATGAATCTTGATATTTGTCAGGAAAAGGAGGATAAAATGATAAAATATCTTTATACTGGAATAAGAAAGTGCTAGGCGTTAAGCAACAAAACCAAGACTAAAATCAAGACCAAATATCCATGACCAAGATCAGATACTAAAGATTAAATAAAAAATTATTACTTCTTGTGGATATATGAGTTGAACTAAGTATTTGAACAACATTAATATATTCTTTTCTTGGAACAAA